GACCAAATCTTAGATTGTCTGATTCGGTCTGATATCCTACAAATTGTTGTATGGCTTCAGAAGATTACAAATGGGTCATATGGAACATTTTTTTATAATTTTATGGTGCTTTTTGGTCATTGTAACTTTATACAGCCCACTTTCACTGTATGGAAACGAGTGGCCATTCTACACTCAGTTGATCGACACAAAAGAAAGTTAAAAGGGTTTTGATCTATATGAGGGTGAGTTATGACAGAATTGTAGTTCCTTTACATAATATTGGAAGTGCTGTGTGCACGCGTGTCTTCACATAGAACAAATGGCTAAAAAAGAAAACCCTTCCTATCGAGTTTGAAGGCAGAAACTTTCTTGGCATCGATTACACACCGTCCTCCCGCACACTTTCACCACGTGTTGCTTTGCCAAAAAGCTGTCACTCACAAGCTTTGGAATGGCTTGGCTTGTTTTCTTTCAAAAAGTCAGCATTTTGTTCTTACATGATCACGCGCTGAATATGCCAATTCATGCAGTAGCATAACCTTAGAAAGAGAGTGGGTGCAGTGTTTAGAGAGACAAAACTGTTACAAGTACCAATTATCCTCAGTAGTCATTTTGTAGTATTATTGTTATTATAACTAATTAGATTATAATTGTATTATGATATTTCAGAAAACATTAATAATAATAGGCTATTAACTGAGGTTTCCATATGAGAAAGCTCCATTAACGTGATTGCAGTCTCTCTTATGCCGAGTTCACACTGCACGATTTTAGCCCGACTTTTCACTCGCCGACAGGTTTTGCGAAATCGCCGACAAATGCCGAAATCGGAGGCAAATCGGTGCTCGTTCACGCAAGTGACAATCACACAGTGTGAATTATCAAAGACGTGATCTGAGGGAATCGCCATCACGTCCAGTGTTGCCAACTGCTTTCAATTGAAAGTAGCTAAAACTGGTAGCTAATGCCGAGTTCACACTGCACGATTTTCAAACTCGTCGGATCGCCGTTGTTTTCACACTGTGTGACTATCTGGCGTAGCATTCAGTTGTTGCTGTGTTCACATTGCAGGATGGATCGGTGTCAAGGGGTTTCACACTGCATGACTTCACAATAGGAAGAATCGCCGACAGCTCTGTCTGGTCTGCAAACTACGTTTCACAACAAAACACACCCGAGAAGTGATAAGGAAATAACGCGAGACAGCTCCAGATATTTAGCATTCCAAATATTTCGCCGGCGTCGGCGACGTGTCGGTGATTCCCTCAGATCGCATCTTTGATCATTCACACTGCGTGATTGTCGCTTGTGTGAACGAGCACCGATTTGCCTCCGATGTCGGGCATTTGTCGGCGATTTCGCGAAACCTGACGGCGAGTGAAAAATCGGGCTAAAATCGTGCAGTGTGAACTCGGCATTAATGTCACTAGATGACATCACAATGGCAAATTCACTGATCTATATAAAGATGAACGTAGATCAGTGGGCAAGATGAGAACTTAGATAAGGTTTGTCCAAGAAGTTGCTATATTTGTCCTTAAACTTTTGAAAAAAGTCTCAAAAGGGACAGGGAAGTCGCTAAATCTAGCTACAAAGTAGCTAAATTGGCAACACTGATCACGTCGCCGACGCCCGTGAAATATTTGGCATGCTAAATATCTGGAGCTGTCGGCGATTCACAATCACGCTGTGTGCAATGAGCTCTGACTGAAAAACACATTGGCGATGACCTACAGCCAACGAGAGACCAAGATACAGGGCAGCGGGAAGTTCGGGGAGGAGTTATTTGAAACGTAGTTTGCGGACCAGTGTTGCCAAATCCGCGATTGACGCCGGTTGTTTTTTATGTCAGCAGGTTGTAGCGACCCCAATAACATGATATTTAGGCCCTGGAATGTGAATTGTACCAGGAGAACCCCGCCAAAAAAATTTGTATTTTACCCCCGAACACGGGTTTTACTGGGGGACTCCCTCGAAAGCAATTGGGATATTTTCAGGCTAGTTTTGAGTAGTAATTGGGCGGGTTTTGTAGTGAAAACCTGGCAACCCTGCACCAGACAGAGCTGTCGGTGATTCTTCCTATTGTGAAGTCATGCAGTGTGAAACCCCCTGTCTCCGATCCATCGTGCAATGTGAACACAGCAGCAACTGAATGCTACCCCAGATAGTCAGTGTGAAAACAACGGCGAGCCGACGAGTTTGAAAATCGTGCAGTGTGAACTCGGCATTAATTTGTATATCTATGAGTCGTCTAGATAAATCAAACAGCTACTTGTGTATCCATGTGTGAACGCATGTTTGTGTATTTATTCCATGTTAAAGCACTTTGTCATATGTTGATGACACTCGTGGCACTGCATGTGGAAAATTATAGCTGTAACATAATTTGAACACAAGCAACTGTACTGTAATAATATCTGAGCCCTGGGAATCTCTATATACAGACGTTATGACCTGAACCTGCTTTATAGACTGAAGCAGACTTGCAGGTATTGGTTTTCTCTCATTATTTTGTTTTAGTTGTATGTGCACCCCTTGCAACACAAGTTTATTGCTATTTCATAGGTCAGGAGACTATTCTAGGTTTGCTTTCTTAAATTCCTTTGGAGCAATACAAATAGAAACAAAAGTGACTATTGGTGACATACCTGTACAGTAATTGTGGATGGCATGACCCAGATAAACTAACAAATGATAAAAAAACAACATTGCAATTATGAAAAATCATACATTTTGTATTGTGAGATGTGTCATATTTAAAAATAGGGCACAATGACTGTATTAAGGTTTCTTCTGAATATACTGTTGTCTTTTTATTAGGAGAAAAATCTGGATTTGCTCTGCATTTTTTTCTCATTGCAGTTTATATAACAGTTCTCCTTTGCAATTTTTTTTCCATAGGATTTTTATGTTTTTACACCAAAGCAAACAAGTCAATTACATTTTCTTGTAGAAGATTGTCCCCTTTTGAAGTTTTTGGAACTTCTAGCCAATCACATTTGCTTTTGCACATATTATTCTAGTTTGTAAATCACTCTGGATAAAATCATCTGCTAAATGTAACTTTAAGCCAAAACAAGATAAGCAATAAAGCTGCTATAGGCCTTTTGCGTTTGGTAACACAAACATATATTTCATTGTTTTTTCCTGGCATTAGATGCCCTTTTGTCTCAGCTAACAAAAACATGTTCTAATAATGTTTTGATTAGGTTATGAAAATTTTATTTCTGAATGTTCTCTGAAAGTTGAAAATGTTACTTTTGAATGCTCTCTGTATGTTCTGAAACAAGTAGAAAGTAGTAACATTAAAAAAAAAAACTTTTCAGATGATGTTCCATAAAGGGTATGTATATGTCTGTGTATATATGTGTATAAACGGCATTTAAGGTTATGTGAACGGTCTCATTAAGTTATGAAAACATTGTTTCTGAATGTTAGCTGGAAATTTAAAATGTCCAGTTTTTAAACATTTTAAAAGCTTTTTACTTGTTTATGTGAACGTTAGAAAACATTAAGGGAATTATCCATTTAAACCATTTTGCAAACTTTATGGTAGCATTACTTTTGAATGTTCTCTGTAATGTTTAAAAAGATAAAGTTCTGAAACAAGTAGTAACGTTAAAAAGTCATCCAGAATGTCTAACTAAAACGTTTCGGGAAAACAAAACAAACAAACAAAAGTTCCATGAACAGTCTCTAAATGAGTTTTTTTTGTGCTAATGTTTTGAGAACGCTGTTAAAGACCATCTAACATTCTAATAATGTTAGAGGGAGAGCCTTTAACTTTGACAGAACCTTGCCAAAACATTAGCCAAAGATCTGACAACATTCCCTGTTAGCCAGGATGGCAAAAAAATAAAAAACACATGCAGTGAGTGTGTCTCCCACATTAATCACGTTCATTTACTCCGTCGAGATTCATTTCAGGGGATAGATCATCTTTATAATGTCAGTGCCAGGCCATGTTTAAGTACAGCTTGACTATATTAGTTCTCTCATGCATGTGCACACACTCTCGCTCACTTCTCTTCTTTATCTCTCTCTCTCTCACACACACACATACACACACACACACACACACTAGAAGATTCCTCAGCCTCTTGATATCCCTCCAGGCCGTGTCCTCTCTCCTGTGAAATGCTCGGCTTGGTTTAATCCCTGTGTCTCGTCAGGCCCTTTTAATAGGAGCCTCATCTCAATGTCCGTGCACAACTGGAGCAGCCCGCGGGTTTATCTGAGGGAGATAGAGTTTCAGGCGACAAGCTGAACCCCTCTCGGCTTTAACTGTAACCGTCTGTCTTGTTAAAGCACAGAGGGAGAAGGTGCTGCCTCTGTGTCACTCTAACCTCTCTTTCATTTCTCCTTCCTCTTTCCGTTCTTCAGCACGATCGAGGCCCACCATGGCGGCGCCGAGCTCCAGTGGACTCGAGGTCCTCCTCAGCACATTGCAGGTAAGCGCGCATAGTTTGTGAACAAGTGCATCTGGATTCTATCTCGTTCTTTGACATGTCAAGCATAGGAACGGCCCACAGATGCAGGCAGGCACGCTGGGAACACTACCCCCACATGCAGGACACTTTCCATGTGCTGAGTGAGAAAGATAAATGACATGGTCTCTCAGTACCATAAAAAGTAGCCGGCGGTTAATGTAAACATGTTTACCCCCCTTGAGGCGAGTTTAACAACGTTTATGTTAATGTGCGCGATGGAATCCAGCGCTTGAAATTTTAGATGCTATTTGTGGATTACTAAGCAACTTTTTTCAAGACTTAGTTTTTTGTTTTGTTTTAGTTTGTTACACTAGACAAAATTGCCATAGGTATTGGATTATACTAATACCTAGTGGTTAGAGGGAACATCACGCAAATGTTTTAGTTGCGATTGCCATTTAGAAATATACCTTTTGCAGACTTCTATGAATAATATAATACGATAAAAGTGTTCAATTATAGTGAGATTTCATCTTTTCAGCTCTCCATGAGGTGAGCCGCTCCATATAAAATACAACCGCTTATTACTACTGACATCAATTTAAACATGATGTTATTTGGAGCAGAACTCTTTCTCAACAGATATTAGTAAAAATAAATGAACTAAACCATACTTACACTATCAGCAAAAGAGAGAGGGAGAGAGAAATTCAATTCTGTTTTATACATTATTTATGTAATTAAAAAAATTATTATTCTTTTTATTAAAGCCGAGTATGAATATCATCAATTTAGTGTTTTTAAGCAGTTTACATTTACTCCAAAATAATAACTTTGTTGTTTACTTTTTTTAATTAGTCTTCACGTTAATGCTGTGTATTGTTCATTCAGACTGATTTGCGAACGCGCACAAACACAAGAGGCATATTTTGTCATATTTTGCAATATTTGCATTTTGTTTTTGTACTTTTTTGTAAATGTATTCTGTGCATTTCACTGCAGAATGCCATGATCAACATGTGTCAGAATAAAATATTCGAGAGACCCGTGTGATTAAGTTAAATTAATAAATTTGATGATGTGACTTGTATATGCAGATTTGATTGTGGTATTGTGTATGCTGTTGGCAGTAGTTAATAATGGTAGTGTTTTATTCAAACCATTGAGAGAGAGTAATAGCATAACTGCAAGCGTCAATATAATAGTTATTGTTGGTTTAAAATGAAAGGTGTGTAGACCAGTAAACATTCTTTTTTTGTTTATTGTTTTCCATATCTGTGTTGAGCAGATTGGTTGCACTCACAAAATGTCTCATAAACCTAAATTGTACATTTAAATGTGATTTTTATCTACTTCCACAGCTTGCGGTGACTGATTTCATATCAGTGAATTTGTATATATCAGTTGCTGCCAATGAGCCGCTGAGGCCTTATATGCTCGCAGGAGGGCGGCGTGCCGAATTCCTGATAACTTTCTACCTCTTGCATGAAAATCAAACTCAGAAGGGCTGAAATTATTTAGTGTATGCGTCAAAGTGCTTAATTGAGAGTGAAAATCATACGATGAGATTTATTCCCCCTATGCTGATAAGAGTGTTGTAAGGAAAAGTGGAAAAGCAGTTTGGAAGGAAACAAGTGCAGCAATGAGCTCAGTGTGATTAAACGCAAGCTTTAAAAGGTTTCTGATCTCACCAGAGGGAAAAATGTATACCGCTTTGAAGGGACAGAGAACGAATAACATTATAGACTTGAGTGCATACCTAAATGTTATTGTTAAAGCGAATGATCTTAATCATATAATCCTATAAAGGATTTTTTAAACTAGTATAGTGTTCTGATCCATTACATTGTAGTCTGAACTAAAATATAAAATTCTATATTAATATATATGTGACCCTGGAGCACAAACCTTAAGTCTTAAGTCGCTGGGGTATATTTGTAGCAATAGCCAACAATACATTGTATGGGTCAAAATTATAGATTTTTATTTTATGCCAAAAACCATTAGGATATTAAGAAAAGATCATGTTCCATGAAGATGTTTTGTAAATTTCCTACCATAAATTGATCAAAACTTAATTTTTGATTAATAATATGCATTGCTAAGAACTTCATTTGGACAATTTAAAGGCAATTTTCTTAATATTTAGATTTTTTTGCACCCTCAGATTCCAGATTTTCAAATAATTGTATCTCAGCTCTCAGCTCTCAGCCAAATATTGTCCTATCCTAACAAACCATACATCAATGGAAAGCTTATTTATTCAGCTTTCAGATAATGTATATATATATATATATTTGATGGATTTCTGCCCCTAAACACAGTATGGCATCTTTACCTATTTTAGTGTACCCTAGATCCCATGTCGTAAAGCACTTTTGAACGTGACACAAAAAAGCTGTCCTGTTTGGGCAAAAAAACGTGCCTCCGTATGTCCTCTCAGTTCAAATAAGGATCCTTGCAGATGCTTGGCATTGGCCATGTGGCCTCGGCTCTGAAGAATTGACTCCTTTATTACAACGCAAACTGACAAGGGTAGCTAGTAATACCCTCACGATTAGCCACAGCCAGCGTGTCGCCTTCCTCCAGCCATGACTGGCATCAAACGTAGAAGTTCCAAATTCACTGTCCTTGACATGAAGCTGTTGATGCCTGAAATGGGATTCCCGCTAATTCAAATTGAGACTGACACAGACGCTCAGGGTGCCGTGTCGGAGTTAGTTTAAGCTTATTTATTCAGCTTTCAGATAATGTATAAATCTCGATTTAAAAAAATTGACCCTTATGACTAGTTTTGTGATCCAGGGTCACATATGTGTGTGTTTTTCTTTTCCTTTTTTGGAAAATACTGTAATATTCTTTTTTATTAATTTCAATACTGGACATTTTTAATATTTTTCATATTTTGTATAATTAGTGATATTGTAATATGTAACTGATTATAGAATGTTTGTATTATATATATATATATATAAAAAAATGTTGAAAATCCACAATATCCAGAGGCATTACCTTCAAAACCAAATCTTTTAAAGCAGTCTTAATAACATTGACAATACTGGTGAAAAGAGACATGATGTCAATTCACATTTGTCCCAGGATCTAATTATATAAACTCAACTGTTTCAATACTATTTATTTCCATATCTTGGCCTTGTCTATTATTCACCAACAAATCTATCGAATAATACTCTTGTAGAGGTGGAACAGTACTATACTAATCCTGTAATCTGAAATTAATTCACTGCAAAGTAATTAGCCAAATTTATTCTCCAGCCTCCAGCACAAAGTTCTAATCAGCACGACTTTTCATAAGTTCTGAAAGAAAGTCGAAAATAAACCCAGACATCATCTTGCAATAGCACGCCAGTGGCAAAGATGGCACCGGCACTTGGCATACAAGTTATCAGCCTAAATTTGAGATTTTGTGAAATGATGGCGGCTGTTTCCTGTAGGCACAGACAGACGGATTCATCACATGATATCGAAAGGAGGCAGCGAGGCCCTGCTGACGGCTCTGGTGAACTCAGCCCGCAGCTTCACTCCCAACTACACCATCCTACTGCCGCTGCTGCACCTGCTGGCCAAGGTGGGCTACCGAGGTGAGTGATGAGGAGGCGGGGCTAGGAGAGAAGGGGAGGAGGCAAACTGTTTTATTTTATTTGAGTATGATGGGGTTATTTTACTGGTGACAGAACAGGTAAACATTCTCAGGTAAATATTAGGTGCGTCCCAAATCCCGTACTTGTGCACCATTCTATGACATTTTGTAGAATAAATAGTGCGAGAAGTGTGTTCACACTGAAAATTTCACAAAGAAAAAGTGCACTTTAAATACCCAGATGATGCACTTAAATAACCGAAGAATATTGGACACATCATGCACTCAGCTGTGTCAGCTTTATACGTCACAAATTCATACACTGCATGCATGAGGACATAGTGCATAAGTTTATAGTGTGTCATTTGGGATGCAATTATCTTTTGAGCTACTCGAATGCAAAAACCAAAAAAGAAAGTAAGCTGTTTTAGTATTATTTTTATACATCTAAATTTGTAATACATAGCTTTTTTCAGTTGTTGTTTTAGTGATTTTAGTACTTAGTCCTTATTTCAGTTATTTGCCAAGACACCATTTCTACTTTACATGTAATATTTATATTTATGTGCATGTTAATATTAATATTAATATCATATCTAATGTCAATTTTTTTAAATCTAATATTTCTATTTAGTTTTCTTTATCACAGTTTGTCATTTTAGAATTTCAACTTATTTCCGTTAGTTGCCAAGGTACCATTTCTACTTTGCATGCAATATTTATATTAATGTACAGATTAATATGAATATTTATATCATATCTAATGTCTAATGTTTTAATTCTAATAAATTTAAATCCAACATTTCTATTTAGTTTTCTTTTTTTAATCTCAGTTTTAGTCATTTTAGAATTTCAACTTATTTCCGTTAGTTGCCAAGGCACCATTTCTACTTTGCATGCAATATTTATATTTATGTGCATGTTAATATTAATATCATATCTAATGTCAATTTTTTTAAATCTAATATTTCTATTTAGTTTTCTTTATCACAGTTTTAGTCATTTTAGAATTTCAACTTATTTCCGTTAGTTGCCAAGGCAACATTTCTACTTTTCATGCAATATTTATATTTATGTACATATTAATATTAATATTTATATCATATCTAATGTCTAATTTTTTCAATCTAATAGATTTAAATCCAATATTTATATTTAGTTTTATTTTTTATCTCAGTTTTAGTAATTTTAGTATTTCAACTTATTTCAGTTAGTTGCCAAGGCACCATTTCTACTTTTCATGCAGTATTTGTATTTATGCACATATGAATATTAATATCATATCTAATGTCTATTTTTTTTAATCTAAAATTTCTATTTAGTTTTCTTTTTTTATTTCAGTTTTAGTAATTCTTAGTATTTCATCTTATTTCATTTAGTTGCTAAGGCACCAATTTGACTTTTCATGTAAAATTTTTATATTCATATACTGGTGATGGTTGAGGGGATTCCCCCCTTCTATGTAAAGTGCGTTGAGTGCCCAGAAAAGCGCTATATAAATTTAAGGAATTATTATTATGTACATATTAATGTTTGTTACATCTAAAACCTAATTTGTAATGTAATATTATATATATAGTTTTAGTTAACTATAGCAATGAATGATGAATTGTGACATCTCCACTTGAAAAAAACACAAACAAAATATGGGTTTGTAAAAACATAAGTAAATAGTAATGATAGCATTTCCGTTTTAGCTGAAATATTCCTATAATTTTGAAATATTTTCTGATTGGCTGGGATTTTCTCATTTGGCCCAACATTTCGGCTTCCTTGCGGACCGAAAAAATAACTGGCTCCGTGAACTTGATTAAGAGACAGTGTAGTGTCCTCAGATTAGTTCAACTCCAATTCAGTTTCACGTTTTCCTCTTCATTTCTTCATTTTAAGTGGTTCACACTGCAGGAGACAGTTGTATTTCTCATAATGATTTATAGTTTAATCATCTTTAGTGCTGAGTATTTCTGAGTTCATTGCTGGACTGCTATAAATAGCACCTCGATCACCAAAAATAGACGTCTCTAATGTGCAGAATGCCCGTAAGTCACAGCTCGTCTGAGGGTGCAGACAGCATGTGTAGGGTCGCTGTCGGGTCAGGTAAAAGCCCTCAATCCCGAGGGGTCAGAGGTCGCCGTCTGAGCACAGGCACAGTCAGTGTTTAGATGTTGTGTAACTTAAGGAGCGAGAGTTTGATCCCTCGCAGGATCTCGTGTCTGTCAGCTTTCCACTCTTGCGCTTTGATGTCTGTCCTAATGAACCCCGGCAACAGGGAATGTTTTCCTTCATCTTCACGTCTCTCTTTGTCACTTAGACAAAACACGTCTAAAAACAAACTCCATCTGTTGAGAGCATAAATTAGTTCGTAAGCAGGATTTTTTGTGCTCAAGCTGTTTTTGTAAGTGCTTGTAGTCATGGTGGGCCTGCGGGATGTTGGGTTCCTCTCTGGGCGGTGGGTTTTTACAGACAGCATTTTCCACCCCACACTGACTTTTCAATAATCCATTTGCATTTACAAAGCAGAGACCATTGTCTGTTTCAAATGGTGCAATGATCTGCACTTGTTCCAGATTCATAAATAGTTGATGTACTGTATGGAAATACTGTAACATCCTAGAGTGTTTTCGTTACTCTGCTTTTTCTCATCTTAGAAGGATAGTTCACCAAAACATGAAATCATTTTCATCATTTACTCGCTGTTATGTTGTTCCAAATCTCTGACAATTTCTTTTGTGGAACACAGAAGGAGAAAATGGAATAATGTACTGGTTGCTAATTACAGTTTTTCTCAGTCGTTTTGGTGCATTTCTCAGATCAGAAATGAAATTCTCAAAACTACTTGTTCAACCTCCACATCATCTAGTCATTTGTACACATCATAAAAGCAGTTTCTCATTCTTTTGAACAAGTTGCGATTGCTTTGGTACATTCATGCAATTGATTATGTACATTTATCTGCGGTTTGCTACATTATCAGTTGCTAATGTACTGTTGCTCAAAATGTATTACTGTATATAGTTTTCTGTGCAATAGTCAACATCTACTCTTTAGTTCATCGTATAAGACATTAAATGCAAAATGGTTCATCTAGTTGTCATAAACTGTCAAGCACATTCTGTACACAATATTATTAGACTTTTTGTAAATTTGGCATGAATTGTGCAAGTGAATCTTGACTTTCACTAATGAAGAGAATGCAGATCAACCAATGACAAACCAGTTCTCTGAAATACCTCAAAGCTGCATCTCATGAATCTTCAGTTGGAAAGCATATACTGTATAGACAGAGGACAACACAAGAGTTACAAATTCTGACAATGGACTTTCACATTTTTTTTATTTTCATCTTTGTGCCCATATTTATTTTTCCTTTTCTATATCGCAATGACATTGTAATGTGTGTGTGTGTGTGTTTTTGGTCAGACCACTAGTAAAATTGTAACTGGGAATTCTATCAAGTCTTTCAATCAATATCCCACATACAGTAATTTGTACTTTTGAAATGGATATATGGCATACATAAGCATATGGCATACTGTTCAATACAGTAACTATCATCCAAATGTTGCCATAGTTTACTTTAAGTAATACTAACAAGGTGCACTGTTATATTAACAACATGACTAAGCATTTTGACTATCTTGTTTGTGAACAATGGCTCAAGTACTTTTCATTCTGATGGCACTGATATGTTCATTGACATACTTACATACTTAATATGAACTAAAGATTTTGAGTAAGTTACAGGCTTTTGCAGGTAATCCATTGTGTGGTGCCGTTTGTACGAATGTACGAATGAAATGCACATACTTTTTTGCAAATATTAAGGATGATTTGAGAAATGCTCCAAAGCGACTGAGAAAAACTGTAATTCACTTTCTAGCTTCATATTTTTGAGCAAACCATTGTTTTAAGTCAACATAAAGTTGCTTTTGCAACCCATTTTATTTCTCTAATGTGACAAGTGATATGATTGATAATTAACATGAAAATCTGTTAGCTTGGGTTTATTGGAAACTGATTATGGAGAAATTGTCTTTGTAAGATGTGGTTGGTGGAGAAGGTTGAAAAAAGTTACTCTTTTTTATCATATATATATAATATCTGTCAGTGTTATATGCATCGATTAATCAGTTATAAAATAGATATTTAGTTGTGCATGCATGTACATTTAGATTATATTGGGCCATAATCTGATTCTTGCTTAAAGTTAATTTTCAAAAACACTAATAATTGAATAACACTTAATTAAATATTGGATAATCTTCAGTCGTTTTCAAATTTAAATCTTAATTCAATCATAGCATTTAAAACAATGGATTTTAGTTTTTAGTGTTTTATTTTTAATGTATTTAGTCAAATTACTTTAGAATTATAATATTAGCCAAATGTTATCACTCATAAAATGTAAAAAAAATATTGGCTTTTGGTATCTTCTAGAATTGTAATACTAATGATTTCTTACCGAATAAAAGTATTCATTTCTTAAAAAAACAAAAACAAAAAAAAACATTCTAAACAATGACAACTTTTCTGTATCTTATAGAATATTCATATTAATAATTAATTAATATGAATTATTTATTTGCTTGTTTACGAAATTGATTTATTTGTTTATTTACAAATTTTGTACAGTAAATCCAGGAACATGCATTAAAAAGTAAATATGATTTTGTGTTAACTTGAAACTGTTGATCTCGTGCATCACTTGGGATCATAGTTAGAATTAATCAGATTTTTAAAAAATTTGATTCTGAAAGTGATGTTGTCCCTTTGATATCCCAATTTCCCCTATTACACATATGGTTTTGATCTCCAAACCAAAGCAATCTGTTTCATCGCAGCTGCCAACAGCTCAGAAATGTTGCCTTCCCAGATCCATGTAGTGAGCAAAATACTGTCAAAGCGAGACGTTACAAATGTTCATTTTCTGAATGTCAAAGAGGAACATGATTTTCTTATTTCCCTCAGATCGTCAGATTGGTCTGAAAGCACAGAAGGCAGATGCAGTTCTGCTGGTTCTGGGTTTGCTGCGGCAGAATACAGAGAACGCACGGAGAGCCGCGGCCTGTCTTTGGGTTCTCAGAGTCTTCTGCTCCTCTGGTGAGTCGGATCTCGGATCAGTTCATTTTTGCCTTCCTAAGAACTTCCTACACACTACTCTTGATTTAAAGTACATGAGATACAGTCAAATAAGCTAAATAGTTTCTCTGACTCAAAAACAGCTAAATAAAAACTATTTCTTTTTTCTTTTCTTTTCTTTTCTTTTCTTTTCTTTTCTTTTCTTTTCTTTTCTTTTCTTTTCTTTTCTTTTCTTTTCTTTTCTTTTCTTTTCTTTTCTTTTCTTTTCTTTTCTTTTCTTTTCTTTTCTTTTCTTTTCTTTTCTTTTCTTTTCTTTTCTTTTCTTTTCTTTTCTTTTCTTTTCTTTTCTTTTCTTTTCTTTTCTTTTCTTTTCTTTTCTTTTCTTTTCTTTTCTTTTCTTTTCTTTTCTTTTCTTTTCTTTTCTTTTCTTTTCTTTTCTTTTCTTTTCTTTTCTTTTCTTTTCTTTTCTTTTCTTTTCTTTTCTTTTCTTTTCTTTTCTTTTCTTTTCTTTTCTTTTCTTTTCTTTTCTTTTCTTTTCTTTTCTTT